AAAGTTCCATATTCTTTAATCGATATTATCTGACGGTTTATTATACGTGTGTACTTTTAAGGAAATTAATAATTTCCTTATGGTTCTTTCAGTATCTTTGATCGAGTCGACCGCCGTGGCGACGGTTGTATAAGAGACCAGCGTTTTCTGAGCGAACTCGCCGATCGATTTGGGAAACGCTTTTGGAAGGCTGGGGTCACCGCGCCGAAAGCAGCTAACTCTCTCATGAGCAGAATGAGTAGCTCATCCTCGTCTCGACTGTAGGATAAAGCTTCGCGCCTCAAGCTATGTAGATCTGTAGACTTCTGAGGGGATTTGGTCGCTTGCTCGCGAGCTTTCGCTCTGGTCACAGGCCCTGTTAGTCCCGATTCCTCTACTGTGCTCCTTTCCGCATGGCACATGCTGGAGTCGCCTTCCAAATATGAGGCAGACTCTTCAGACGGCTTTGCTGAAGAAGACGATGTCTGTCTGATGGATATGATGTCCATGCTGGGTAAAGTCACATCTTCACCAGGAAGTTCCTGCTCCATCGTATTATCGGTTATTTAAATGAAGTCCTTAATCTCAAGCTGCTTGATCCCGACCTGATGCTCTCCCTGCTCCCAGTAGGTACACGTATCAGATTGATCAGTCTTCTTATTTGGTTGAGACAAGTAGGGCTGAGATACTTTTAATAGCTGAGAGTCGAAATCAAGGGCACTAGAAGTTGAACACACTGCGGAAGGACTTGAACACGTGCTGCTATCATCTGTGAGATCTGGAGTGTCAAGTGCGACCGACGGAAGAACCACACTATTCCGACCGTCATCCAACGTAACTGTGCTTTGGCAGTTCTTAATCTCCCATGCTATTACTTGTGGTCTTTCCTGCAAAATGCCTTGCATCACTGTTCTAACTGAAAACAAGGGCTCTGTGGGAATTGCGCAAGGCTGCCAGAATTTGATTTTCAACTCCTTCGGTTCGCATGGTGGTGAATTAGGAGTGTTCTTGCGACGCTTGTGCGGATGTTTGTGTTGCATCGACTGAGTACAGTCCAAGATTGTCTTCTCGTCTAGCGTAGCAGACGATCGTTTCTTCGGAGCCTCCTTGGGTGCCACATATATCGCTTTGTGATAATGGTGCACGTCGTGAAGGTGTCGGCGATAATCTTGCTCTTCCTTAGAAATGTGGTTACAGGAAGGGTCGGGACATTCTGAAGGCTATAATTTCTGAATGAGATGTTCCTCTATGTGGTTTCGAAGCTCCGTGCTTCGGGTAAAGGCTCTCATTCTGCATACAGCAGAGAGCCCATCATTCTACATGCATTTAATGCAATAGCCAGCACGGATGGTAGCATGGCGATATTTCATTACCTCGTAGTGTTGGCTGGTTATTGATGGAAGATGGCCAGCACAGTGCTCTTCAAACTTACAACTCTTTCTATCATAATAAGTGTAGCATTCCCAGCAATACTTAACTTATTAAGGAGACAAGTTCCGTTCAGAAGCAAAATGTTGTAGATAATACTTGTAGAGATACGGATTTCGGTTAGGCTTCTCTATACTATGGCTCATTAGCAAAGGATTTGTTCGAGTATTGGAGGGCAGCTCACTATTCCATAGATTCACTACAAGCGGGCACCTGGCATCGTCCTTCCTGTAGTTCCTCGTCTGGGAGATAGACCACATCGAGCTCACGAAGGCAGTGCGTATGAATGTCGTGGACAACACTGGCTTTTTCGTCGAACGAAAGACTCTGATTGGAGGAGATTACCGCCGCCAGACGACCCAGTTCCGGCATAAGCTTGCACAATACTTGTTTCTCCGCTGCCTGCTCGATATAATTAGGGCGTTCACGGCCCCTGGTCAGAATCTTCCAGTCACGTCGATTTCGGACCCAATCACTTTGGTATTGCTGGAATGCTTTCGAATAGATCTTTCTCCTCTGGATACTATATTCACGTCGCAGCCTTCTGCTTTCGTCCGCTGACTGTGTGCCTTCGATTTTTGCGCTGATCTCAGTGAGACTTGGATCTTCGTCAATCTTCTGTTCCTCTTCTATGGGTAATCGACGAATGAGCCCGTTTTCGTGGAATCGCTCAAAGCCCTGAAAATAGTCCACGTGAGTATGATCCAAGGGTCTGCCTTTCAAGGAATTGACGACATCAACGCTGGAACAATTCCCAAGGTAGTCGTTGCCGTAGACAGATTTTGACTTATGCGTGAGAATCTGAGCCACCAGTGTCGAAGAATACTTAGCTGCGAGAAGTATTAGCTAGACTCAAGAGGCAGAGCATGGTCAAAGACTGTAATGACCTACCTCGGACAGCCTTCCCTAACTCACAGCGCATGGCATGAATTGTGGCAGTAACGAAATAGCCAGCATTGGCAAGGCATTTTCTCAAACCTTCTTGATATCTTTCTTTTATAAATGGGTCTTCGCTGACTCCAGTTGCCGAGATACCCCTCACAATACATCGATCCCTAGCCTCGTTATTCCACCGAAGAATTAGTTCGTCCTCCCCCTCTGGGATCCTCTGCTCAAAAACTTCTGCTGTACTTGAGAATCTGAAAAGAGTATTATCGGTAAGAGCCATGCCTAGAAGATATAATACCCCAGAATAAATCGGTTCATCACAGTCCCAAATAGCGGTACTAAATCTATTAGCATCAGTCTGTACTTGTATCTCTGCAGGGGTACTCGCGCGCGCTACTCACATAGTGTTCTCAGGGTCTTTGTTGTTCTTGACGAATTATTGATCCAGACGCCACCTGATTCTCCAAGGGGCCTCTGTGTCGCGGAACAAAACAAGTTTAATATTCTGTCATCGTCAGCAGCTAATCAAATAGTACTGTACTCAGATTTACTTTATAACAAAGATCCCTGCCGGCTTTATTTTCGGATGCTGGAGTCAAAGAGGATACTCTGGATCCTACACACAGATTCTGCAGAGTGATAAAATAAAACTGGATACGGTATCTTCCAGTCATGAAAAATAGGTTATTAATAGTCCAGAAAGTAACTATAGCACGCTTAAAACTTTTCAGCTTGAAATTATACTTGAGTTTTTTTATATTCTTGATATACTGCTCTGCGACTAAATCATGCTTAATCCACTATCAGGAGTTAGTTATACAGCTCTCACATACTTCTTTCCAGTATAAAGTATACTTACGCTGTACAGGTCCTGTCTGTCCTGGTAAGGAATTTCGTTCCTGGTCTCGAAAAAAAATCCCGGAATAAACTCTTGAGCCCAGACTAAGGTCGAGTTCATAGTCGGACGTCCGTCAGGGTCAAGTCTACCTACAGTTGAGTCGATATGCCAGCAAATAAATTCTTTGAGCTCTTCTAAACCCGGCACTCGATATCCAACTCCAACCTTATAGTCTTCGGGTAATCCCTTCTCTTCTTTCAAAAATCTATCAGAATGTGAGAAGACTCGATATCCTAGAACTCAAGATTGATAACTTACTCTTTATAATAGCGTACCCTTTTCCTGTAGCCTTCTTTCGTTTTCGGGGAAGCTCTACCTCCCGACCTTTGGGCATCCTTGACTCGATGAATATCCGCATCGTAGCTTCGCTCTTGGCGGAGTTTGCAACGAGCCTTCCTTTTTTCCTTATTTTGGTTGGCTCTAGAAGCAGAGGTCTGAACGGCCATTGTCAGTAAGCACGAACGAGATCGAAAGACCAAATGAAGAGTGAGGTATAGAGAGATGAGATAGAAAATGTATGAAAGAATAGATTGATGATTGACAAACTCGGGTGAGATAGGCTCTATTTATGTCCAAATTGAAAGAGAAATACCTTAGGTCATGCATCACCATTCGTCTATTATTAATCTATCTATTTGCAATGAACAGATGATCAGTATTAAAAATATACTGGGTCGGGAAAACCAAGAAAAGCTGACGGCCCTTGTTTTGGTGATACCCTCAAATTTCGTAGGTTTGTATCAGTACCTCAGATTTCGATAAGCGTTAGTCGCGCACGGTTTAGAGAGCCTGTTCTAGTCACGTGGGTTGCCGCAGTGCAAAGCGGGAGCTGCTCAGGATTGCTTACTAAGTGAGCCGGAGCAATGCGGGAGCGACCGGAGTTCCCAGGTGCGTGCTCCGTGAGCAATCCGTGAGTGTCCCAGAGCACACACAGATCGTTCACGTGCTACCCTCATAAAAGCGGCGGCACCCCAATTGGGTAAGCAAACGGGAATTGCAGCAAAACAGTTCACTTATACACTAGTACACTATATACCAGCCTGCCACTCCAACCCCAAGCCACGTAAAGTAATTCCCCTCCCTCCTCCCCCAGCTGCACTCCGATCTTATCAATTTCCTATCCGAGCAATGCCCCCGCCGGGTGACAGCACGTCGCAAAGTAATCAATCCATGGGGAGCTCAACCACCCCGAATAGCAGGGGGCTACTATAGAGTTTAATTCCTCCAATCGGACCCCGCCGATGCCTCGGGTCTCATGGACGCTCATATCAGCCCGCGTGTTGGGTTAGATTTCGTATCCCTTGGGGTTCTCATTGGGTCAGCTGCTCTGCATCCCGACTGGTTTGGTGGTGATGCAGGGGTTTCTGCCACTCATCCACCTACCTAGGTAGCTACTACCTACTGCCTACCTTAGGCAATTAGGTAAGATAGGTAAGGTAAAGAAGAAGAAGAAGAAGACAGACCTCCCCCAACCCGTAACACAGACCCAGAAAGCTTGGTTCGGGGACAAACAGCCAGTCATCAGCGACGAAAGTCATGCAGGATACTGTATTTGGAATTCGTCTGGTGGGGAAGGTCGCACGGGTGGGCTATTTCGGATGACTTGCATGCTTGGAGGTGAGTGTGAGTGTGTGTGTGTGGCAAAAAAAGAATGGGTGTGTCGCGCTTGGAATGGGAGTCATGTGGATGGATCGATGGAGGTATGTATGTACCTATACTACCTATATGTACTCGCTGTATGTAAGTAGTAGTAGATTGATTGTAGGAGGGGAGGGAGCGGGAAGGAAAATAAGAAAGAAAAAAACTTTGGCGCCGCCCGGAATCGAACCGGGGCTAACACGGAGTTGCTTGGCGAACACAAGGCTCACTTCCACAACGTGACGTCATACCACTAGACCACGGCACCTGCTGCTATGATTTTCCGGTTCAAATTCTGCTATATATTCAATTAACAAAGTTTCGAGGGTCGATGGTAGTTTGGAGTTGTAGGCGGGTGATGGCAATACGTCTTCTTCTTGTCTTCTGGTCTTCTTACCTCTACATACTAGTTTGCATGCTATCATTGTCATGTTATCTCTCTCTCTACTATGTATGTCTTTCTGAAATACCTCTGTAGTGAGTATTTTACGGGATCCTTTTTGGCTATTTCGTCTTTGTGATGGTAACCAACACTGTGGCGTCCCTTTACTCCCGCGAGGTACTAGTATATTTAGGTGGTGGGACTTGGTATACATGGACGGCACACGACCATTATATGCCACAGAGGGTCCCCAAGGTTCCTCCACCCACACCATCCCCAACCTCATAACACAAGGACAAAAACGGCCACTAGATGGTAGCACAACATGGCACTCATCTTCACGGGGCACCCCTTAAAATGGAAAGAACATAGGTGACAAGAGTGGCAGGCTCGTATGATTATCTCTAGAGACCCGAGAATCTCTCTTTGACCCTGCTGCTTCACCTGAGCCATGTCCCTCGATTAACTCCGGACTGGGTATACAATTGCCGTGATGGGCCCAGGTATCCCAGACGATATGGAGGCGATGTCATGGCCACGATGCGAAACAGTGTTCACCCTAGTATTGGAGAAAACAGACAAGCGCACACCCCCCACCCAGAAAGTAGACATGCGCACGGCTCAGTGCAGCCGCACTTGGATGACAGCTAGAGATCTGGACATATACACTGACCCGCGCCTCCATCGGCCACGCGATTGACAGACAAGTACATGCGTCCTAACCCCCCACGGACGTGCCAATTGGCGCAGCCATGGCATTGAGAGCCGGTATGAGCTCGGGACACTAGTTCCAGGACCATGTACCCCACGTCCAAGGTGAGCCGAGACCTGGAGAACAGACTAGCAGCTGCACCGCATCTCCACTGGAATCGAAGAATGACAAGAGGCGTGGAGCACAGGGCCCTACTATCCAGTATTCACATTTCACGGGTGGGGGTTCAGACACAACTACTCCGTAGGGTGGGCGCCGACCCTGGCCAGCCGCGGGACGTAGCACGACAATCCTCTCGGTTGCCTGGCAGGTTGGTTACCCCTCACTGTAAAAAACGCGACACTAAGACAATTAGCGATGGTCTAGACAGCAACCCAGGGAAAAGGCAGCCGCAGGCCGACACGCTGGCCCGGTAGATGGGTGTGGAATGCTTGCCTAGGCCTGGATTAGTGGAACAGTTATCTCAGTATTCAGTAAGCCGTCAACTACACCAAAGAGATCATCACTAGGGATGTCAACGGCCGCCAGACAAAGAAGCACATGGCGTATATAACACGCCAAGAAGAGATATACCCCAAGAACCGGTCGATACTCACACCTCGCTACTCAGGATCCCGACGTCTAATGTATATAGTGTATACAGTGTGTGGCATGCCGGAATTGGGCCTCGATGACGTCGATGACGGCCAGTGGCCAAATGGAAATGGAGGAGCCCGATGAGAATGCAAGACCGCATACCTCGACTACTAAAACCCACTAGCCATGCATGCCTGCAGTGCGTCCTGAGGCCCAATGAGATGCGGCAGAAGATTTCACTCATATTGGGTTACGCTGAGGGTGAGACCGGACGACTAATTGGTCTCTCGGGAATGTCGCCATGCATACAGGACTAGTCCCAAGCATTCCCCTCTCGGCCAAAGCAGTCTAGGTGAAGCTCCTCGCCCGTTGCGGATCAAGGGAACCAAGCCAATAGGCTGCCAAGCGCCGAATGGCCTTCTTCTACACGAAGTCGAGCCCCGGGGGTTTTCGCAAGGGGAGGGGGATCATAATCAACAAGGACGACGGATTGCCGCTAGAGCAGCCACGCCTCGTGGAGCGAATCAGGCTGCTATGCATGGGCAAATCAGAGGAGAAGTAGGGGGATCGTTAGGTAGCTGTAGGTGATTTTCGACGGCCTCCCACCTGCGATGGGCCAACCGCTCTGATTTGCGAGGCGGTTGGGGGGTGATCCTGCACTGATGATGGGCCGACCACCTGCTGCGGAGACAGGCATGGATGCCGCCTGCGGTCCCGACTGGTCGTTTGTACTTTGTATGAACATCGAACCCAACCCTGGGTTGGATGCACCCTCGGTTTCAGACCCAGGGTTGATAGCTCGCCATGCCACCGCCAGAGACCGACCGAGACCCTGCTCGACCCGGTGGAGCGAACCGGTTGCCGGTTGCCAACGGAGGGCGGAAAACCTATTGAACGCTTCCCTTTGTCGCGCCGACTCCTGTTGCCTGTTTGGGCCAGAACCCAGCTGTCCCTTCCCTCACTCTGTCGCCTTCTCATCGGTTCCCCTTCCAGCCTGGGTGTGGCTGTCAGATCGCTGGGGGTCGGGGAGAACACAGACCTCCTCGCCCAAGCACTGCGCGCGGAGCTAAAAGAGGAGCCCCGTAACTCTATTGGAGGGCGATGCCGCAGTCAAACATTATCTACTGCAGGAAGGGGAGCGGGCCTATGAGGACTCAGCACCCCCGACTAGTGCCAGGGAGGCGGACGGGTGCTCATGTTTCGGTCGATCAAAATTACCTGGGGGGGAGGAGACGGAGGAGGAGGACGACGACGACGACGACGAAGTAGAGGATACGGAGACTATGCACATACTTACGTACCTCCTTCTCTCTCTCTCTCTAACCCTCTATACCTTAGCCAGCCAGCCCGACCGTGAGACGTTGATGCTCGAACGGACATCTCCGCCGTACCGTGTCCGAGAGCAACGCAGAGTTGAGGATAGACATCATCGGACCCACGGAACAGCCAGAACCAGATCGAATAGCCGACTCGCTGGCTGGCCAGTTTTGACAGGTGTCAGTGACGACAAAGATTTCCGTCTCGGGAGGTGATCGATTGATCGATAGATAGATAGATAGAGGGTAGGTATCGATAAAACCGGTAGGGCTAAGGCTACCGATAGAGAGAGAGAGAGATAGCGGGCGATGGGGTATGGGCGATTCCCGGCTGGGATTGCCCACTCACACAAAGGATTCGCTCAGGCACGACGAGCATCGGCGATAGGATGACGGGAACAGCAAGGGGCGGGGGGAAGCCATGACTCGGTGACAATGAGGGCCGGAGAAAAGTCCCCTACGTAAGACGGGTCTGCGAGTCCCAACTACGGAGTCCTTTAGGCCCTGTGCTAGTGGTGGATGGTGCTTGGCGAGGAGAAAGACGCCACTGGCCTGGCACTTGGATGATTGGATCAACACTGGCCACTGATCCTTTGCGCTCGTCGGATTTCCTTTTTTTCCCTTTTTTTTTTTTTTCCCAACCCTCTCCTCTCAGCCCCCTAAAAAAATTGGCCAGAAATCCTTCGCTGCATACAGACACTATTTTCTTTAGCATCACTAGAAACCAGTGTGAAGGCATGTAAAACAGGGCAGAGAAATGATCCAAGACACTCCCCAAGTATACCTACTCCAGCACCACGGACTTCGTAGGACCCCCCCCGGAAAGGAAGCTAAGGCGGAATTCAGGCTATTCTGCTGCTCCCGTTTTGCCCCCGATGAAGATAGGGTCCCAACCACTGCCAAGGAAGCCCGGATGGCCGGCCGAGAGGGCTTGTCGAGGTACGAGGTACATCGTACATACGAGCGATTCCAATCACCGACGGGTGGCCCTATTCCTACTTCCTCTAGAAACCCCGTACCGTATTGTCGCTGGCCCGATGGGGATAAGATTGATGGGATGACATCGATCGTAGGTTATCTCCCCCAAGACTAGGAGATTGTGCTTGGATTTGCTGATGATGCTAGTCGCCTAGTAGGCTAGCACGCAGCTACTGCTACCCAGTGTACCCAGTGCCCCGGCCAGCTCCCCAGCCCGTCCCCACCAAGCAATTCTCCTCGACCCTGGAAAGTGGAAGCTGCAACAGGAGGAGGACTGATCCCCACCCGCCGGCTATTGGATCCAGAATCTCTGTCGCCCATTGGGGTTCGGTACGCTGTACGGTACCTATTCTTGCCCCCCCGTCCGATCTGCCGCCGTACTGCCAGCTTGCCCACCACCTTACTATGACGACCGACTTACCACCACCGCCAGGCCCTCCGTAACGACTCCCGTGCGTACGGCGTACTGCTGTTACCACCGCCCTTACTAAGGCCCGCGCTGGCTTGCTGTTCGTCCCGTTGCTGTCTGTAGTCTGTACGGAGTAGTCTGTACTCACTCTGTCGGTTCCCATAGCTGTTCCCCCCTCCTTCCCTCCCCCCCCAAATCCGCCTGACAAAAGCCTGCTTGACTCTCCGCCGCCGTGAACACCACCACCTCCTCCATTATTACTTACAAACCGCCATCACATCGTTTTCTCCTCCACCCCATCTCCGTCTCTTTTCCTCCTCCTCACCACCACCGTCCACCACCCTTCCCTAATCTCTACCCTCTCTCCCCCTTCTTCCTTTTCTTCTCCCTTTCCCCTTTTCTTACCTGACTTTCTCTTCTTCGTCCTCCAATACTTACACCGCTGATAACTACCCCTCCTTTTTTACCTCTTTTAATTTATCTCCCTCTCCGTATAATTACTCTACTACTGTTTGCCCGTTCTCTTCACGACTCTGTCCCGGACGCCTCTCCCCTACTATATACCTCACATTCACGCCGTCGTGTCTTCTTGTCCTTATACCTAGACACTCTTTACCCGAATCCCGCCCTATACTCGAGGATCTCGTTCCCGACCGATCTGCGACCATCTTCGGCTCTCAATCCATTTCCTCACCCTTATCTCCGGGCGCGATAATCGACCATCGGCTGCATCCTGGTGCTGTAGCAGGTCTGTCGCTCAAAGGTTCTCCGGCTTGTCATTACCGCTGTCCGGCACACGGTTTCCGCTCCAAGTCGACCCGCATGGCTGTGATCGCTCTCTTCCGAGTCCAACTCTAAGTAATGCCGATCCACTCGTGTGCGCCCTCAGAGCTTC